TATCAGTTATAATTTATCATTTATAATTTATCATGTATCAGTTATCAGTTGTCATACAACTGTAACCCCTGAGAGATTCAGCTGAAAGTCCTGGTGCACCTTTTATTTGAACCTGCAGAGATTTGAACAGCTGATCTGAAGCAAACAGGCAGGAGTTCACCTGAACTGACCACTCCTGCTGTTTGATGGTCTCCTCCTTCACCATCCATCATCCATCCATCCATCCATCCATCCATCCATCCATCCATCCATCCATCCATCCATCCATCCATCCATCATCCATCCATCCATCATCCATCCATCCATCCTCTTCTGCTTCAGGGTTGTGGGAGCAGCATCTTTACCAGGGAGGCACAGACATCAACATCCACCTCTTCAACTCTTCTAGGACCCCATGGTGTTTTCAGACCAACTGACTATTTATTAATTAATATCCTGATGCTGCTCAATAATCCAGGTAGAAAAATCTAAAAAGTTAAGTCTGGTCCTCTGGACATTCACAAAACAAACAATACAGTTTATAATAAATAAACAACAATTTTTGTTTGTTTGTTTTGTTTTTTGAATGTCCAGAGGACCAGACCTTTTTTAGATTAATAAGTTATAAATTTATGTTTTTAAATTTAATGAAAGAGAAAGCTTTAAAATTTAAGGACAAAATTTAATCTAATTGTTTTCAAGTCTTCTTGTAAAAGCAGTTTCAAAGATTACAGCACAGTGTGATGTTTTGCAATTTTAACATGAACCTTGTGCATATCTGTAAATAATAAAAGTGAAGATATTTTTAATACATCTTTATTGTAAAAATCTATACTAAAATGTAAAACACATGGGTTTAAAGCAGCAGGAAGGCAGTAAGGTAGGATTATGAATCAGGTTTATAAGTTACAGCTCATGAGGTACTCCATTAGAACATGACATCTTTTCCACAAGGGCAGCACGGTGGCGCAACTGGTAGAGCTGCTGCCTCTCAGCGAGCAGGTCCTTGGTTCAAACCCTGGTCCAGGGGCCTTTCTGGGTGGAGTTTGCATGTTCTCTCCGTGCATGCGTGGGTTTTCTGCAGGTACTTTGGTTTCCTCCCACAGACCAAAAACATGCATGTTAGGCTGATTGGTAACTCTAAATTGTCCCTAGGTGTGAGTGAGAGAGTGAATGGTTGTTTGTCTCGTTTGTCTCTATGTGGCCCTGTGATGGACTGGAGACCTGTCCAGGGTGTACCCCGGCCCTCGCACAGTGATTGCTGGACATGGGCACCAGCGACCCCCGTGACCCAAAATGGAATAAGCGGGTAAAGATAATGGATGGATGGATGGGATCTCTTCCACAACATCTTGTGACAAAGTCTTCAGGGTGTTCTTCTTCTAATACGTTTAGTGGTGGCTAGTAAGTAGCTTAAGGGAGCACTACTGCCACCAGGTGGTAAGACGAGTTGGATTCTAGTCCCCGCCTACAGAGCCGGTCCAGAAGTGTAAATGGAAACACAACAGATCCGAGCCAAGCTGAACTGACCCGAACTGACCTGATCCGCACTGTGACAGTGGAAAAGGGGCATTAGTCGGTCCATCACCAGAGTAAATGGTAAATGGACTGTACTTATACAGCACATTTCTATCTAATCAAGATACTCAAAGCTCTTTACACCAATCTGTGCCTCATTTACCCATTCATACAGCACTCTACTAGATCTCTACAAAGCTAATTGAACAAATAATTCTAAAGAGACTAATCAGTGCTTAATGGCATTCATACATCGATGGGACACACATCGGACAGAATGAGGGGTTCAGTGTCTTGCCCATGGACAATTCGGCATGTGACTGCTGGTGGATTCGAACCCCCCAACTCTTGCATTGGAAGACGACTGCTCTAACCACTCAGCCACAGCCGCCCATAAACAAAACAAACAAAAAGAGGCTGAGAACCTATCCTTGATGCAATCCCACCTCGACCTTGAAGCTATCAATCAATCAGTCAATCAATCAATTTTATTTATAAAGCACCCTTCATACTAAAAGCAGCTCAAAGTGCTGTACAGAATTATAAACAATAAACCCACAAAATAAAAGCAAACAACACACACATAAAATAAAATAAAATTGTATGGAAAATGTATAGACTGAACAGAAATGAACCAGTTCAGAAAATACAGTTAAAAAGATGGGTCTTGAGCCTGCTCTTAAAAACAACAACATTCTCTGCGGCCCTCAGGTTCTCCGGCAGACTATTCCACAGACGGGGTCCATAGTACTGGAAAGAAGCCTCACCGTAAGTGTGAGTTCTGACTCCTGTCACTCCTACAGCACATCTCACCACTGTCCTGCTGTCTTCATACACGTCCTGTATCAGTCTAACATACTTCTCTGCTACTCCAGATTTCCTCATGCAATACCACACCTCCTACCTCGGCACCCTGTCAAATGCTTTTTTTAAAATCCACAAAGAAACAATGGAGTTCTTTCTGACCCTCTCTGTTCTTCTCCATCAGCATTTGCAAAGCAAAGATGGCATCTGTGGTGCTCTTTTTTGGCATGAAAAGATACTGCTGCTCACAGTCACCTCTCGTCTAAGTCTTGCTTCCAGAACTCTCTCCCAGATCTTCATCATATGACTCATCAACTTAATTCCCCTGTAGTTGCTACAACTCTGTACACCACCCTTGTTCTTAAATATGGGCACCAGCACAGTTCTTCTCCATTCCTCAGGAATTTTCTCACCCTCAAATATGCCTTTGAAAATCTGAGTCAAAAACCTCACTGCCATCTCTACAATACATTTTCAAACCTCCATTAGTATGTCAGCAGGTCCTACTGCCTTCTCCTTATTCATTCTTTTCAGAGCTTTCTGGACTTCACCCTCACTAATCCATCGCACTTCCCGGTCCACAGTTTCGACAACCTCTACTCTTCTTTCTCTTTCATTTTCTTCATTCATTAGCTCCTCAAAGTACTCCTTCCATCTTCTCGTCATGCTCTCCTCACTTATTAGAACATTACCATTCCTATATTTAACAAGCCTAACCTGTTGCACATCCTTTCCAGCCTGATCCCTCTGTCTTGCCAATCGGTACAAGTCCTTCTTTCCCTCTTTAGTGTCCAGCCTCCCATACAACTCATCATACACCTTCTGTTTTGTCTTTGCTACTTCCCTCTTTGCTCTACATTGGATCTCCTTATATTCAGGGGAGTGGTGGCGCAGAGGTTAGAAGATGGGCCTGTGATCGGAAAGTCGCAGGTTCACCTCCCGGTACCGTCAACATAAAAAAAAATGTGGGTGGAAAAGGTGGAACACCCACACCTCCCACCACCTTCATTCACCCCACTCTGGGCCCCTGAGCAAGGCCCTTAACCCCCACCATCTGCTCCCTAAACAGGTCTCTCTTGAAAATGAGTTCTCGTGACTCATTGAGACTGCCTGGATAAATTAAGGGTACATGAAATGAAAAAAAAATCCTGTCTCCTCTCTTCAGTCCTCTCACTATCACATTTCTTTTTGGCTAACCTCTTTTTTTGAACAGCTTCCTGCAATTCTCTGTTCCACCACCAGGTTTCCTTATCATCCATTCTCTGTCCAGATGTCACACCAAGTACCTTCCTATCTGTCTCTTTAATTACTTTTGCTGTAGTAGTCCAGTCATTTGGAAGCTCTTTCTTACCACCCAGAGCCTTTAACAGCTCCTCTCTGAATTACTCACAACATTCTTCTTTCTTCATCTTCCACCATTTGGTCTTCTTCTCTGATTTGACTCTTTTTCTCTTCTTCACAACAACAGTCATTCTACACACAACCATCTGATGTCTGGCCACGCTCTCCCCTGCCACAACCTTACAGTCCCCAATCTCCCTCAGGTTTCCTCTTCTACACAGAATGTAGTCGACCTGCGTACTCCTTCCTCCACTATTATAGGTCACTCTATGTTCCTCCCTATTTTAGAAATATATGTTGACTACAGCCATTCTCTTGACAAATCCACCACCATCTGTCCTTCCTGATTTCTTTCCTTGACACCAAACCTACCCATCACTTCCTCATCCCCTCTGTTTCCTTCACCAACATGTTCATTCAAGTCTGCTCCGCTCACCACTCTCTCCCCCCTGGGAATACACTCTATCACTTCATCCAGAGCCTTCCAAAATGTATCTTTTTCCTCCACACACCATTTACCTGGGCTTGGGACTGGCACAAGAGACACATGTACACTGGTTTGTGCACCCTAGTGGCTGGTTTGTGAATAGCAAGTGACCATAAGGGCACTAACAATTGGTCATTAGGCTGATGGTCCTCCTTTGTCATGTGAACAGCTAGTTCTGGATGTCAACAACAAACTTGTATCCACTATGAGAAGGTGCTATTTATAAGACTGAGTTTATTACAGCTCCTCTGACTAAAGAAAAGTATTTCAACAAGTTTTCAATTTTTTTATTGTTTATTTTTTCATTTGCTTATCTTTTTATAATTATAGAATCTGTCCAGACGACCTGACTTAACTTTATTAGATTGGGTTCAAGGGTTCTGATCTGTTCTTTGTTCAGAGTTAAGTAAACTGCAACAGGAGTTTTCTGACCTAAACATAGGTTTAAACAGTACATGGCTGAGGAGGAGTTTGTGGAGAATCAAAAGGACTGGTTTGATCCTAAAATGGAAACAATCAATACATTTTTCTGGAAATGTGAAGACTGGATGAAAGAGGTTTTAAAATGTTCTGAACTGGCTGAAAGGTGTGATAAACAGGTAGCACCTGAAGACAGTAAGTCAGCTGTGTCAAAGTCTACAAGGCGCAGCAGTCTTGGATCACAAAGTGGAAGTGTTTCTTCAACATCTTCATCCATCCGAATAAAGGCAGAAATGGAGCATGCATCATTAAGGCTGCAGCTTTGCAGGAAAAGTTGGCAATTGAAAAAGAAGCAGACTGGCAAGCACAGAAAAAAATTAGACAAGCTCAAGAAAAGCTACGAGAAGCGGAAATGGAAGCTGAACAGCAAAGAGTGGAAGAAGCTATAAAAGCTAAAAAGGAGATGCATGCAATACAGACTGCCTTGGCTGAGGCAGATGCAAAAATGGAAGTTTGCAAAAATATGAAGGCACTCAGGAAGTTAAAAACATTATAGGAACAGAAGAAATGGGGATAAAACACAGACATATGCCACCTTACCACAACGGCCACATAGTGTCTTGCCAGCTCCCACTGTGGACCGTGCTCTTCAGCCCATTAAACCACCCAGTTCTTCACACACTCTGATCACAAACTTCAATTATGGACCAGTGATGGATAGTCTTTGCAAGGCATCCTGATGCATGCTCAATCTTTGCCTTTGCAAGGCAGTTTCTCAGCAAGCTACTGTAACTGAGTATCTTGTACAAAATCGTAAAAGCATCACTTTTGCCTGAACTCACAATTCCAATATTCAAAGGAGACCCAATGGAGTACAAATCCTTCATCAGAGCTATCAAGCATGGAACTGAAGGTCGTACCGACAGTGATTCAGATCATCTTCAGTGTTTGCTGCAGTACACAGCTGGACAACCACATGAACTAGAAAAAGCTGCCTCCACATGGAACCTTCAGTGGGTTATGCTCACGCTAAGCAGATGTTGAAGGACTTCTTTGGTGATGATTATAAAATAGCTTAAGCATATATAAGTGAAATATTGAGCTGGCAGACAATCAAGCCAGAAGATGGTGCTGATCTACAATCCTTTGCATTATTTTTGACAGGATGCTCCAATGCCATGGCAGATTCATTCATTCATTCAACCTTTATTTAGACAGGTAAATCCCATTGAGCCTCGAGGACTCATTTACAAGAGAGACCTGGTTTCAACAAAGAATGATGACAACAATGGACAACAGCAACAACAATAAACAGTTATAAAAAGTCATACTCCAGTTTTTTTTTTTAAACAAATAGGATGCCTAAAAAAAGGTAACAAAAACAGCTAGATTCTAAGGCGAATGTAGAAAACTAAAAACAGGAACATGTCTGCATTGGTCCCTGCCAGGAGTCCAACAGATTCTTAAAGCCACTTAGAGAGGTCAAGTTCGAGAGCTTCAAATGTTTTTGTAAGGTATTCCAGGAAACAGGAGCGGAGTAGGAGAAGGCCCTTTTGTCTAGTTCAGTCCTCATTGAGGGAACACTGCAGGTAATAATGTCCTGAGAGCGCACGCCATAGCTGCACTCACGCAGAGACATGTAGGAGGAGATGTATGAAGGCAGCAGACCAAGAAGTGATTTAAAGATGAAAATGTACCAGTGAGAGAGTCTGTGTGAAGTTAATGATGTCCAGTTAACCAGTGAGTACAGGGTGCAGTGGTGAGTACGATAATCACAGCCAGTTATGAATCTTAGTGCACCATGATAGACAACATCCAACATCTGCAGGGTTTTTGTAGGAGCGTTCATGTAAATAATGTCACCATAATCAATGGAGGGAAGGAAAGTCACAGATACAAGGCGTTTCTTAGCATTACAGGATTAGACAGGATCTGTTTCTGAAAAAGAAACCCAGTTTAACTTTCAGTTTCTTTATCAAGTTTTCCACATGAAGGTTAAAAGAGAGATGTGAGTCGACCAAGATACCCAAATATTTGTAGGAATCAACATACTCAATGGGGACACCATTTGAGGATAAAATCGGAGGAAGAACTGCTGGGACCAACTTCCTATTTGAAAAAAGCATCCCTTTGGTTTTGCCGGCATTTAGGACAAGTTTGAGGTGGAACAAATCAGTCTGGATGTTGTTGAATGCAGATTTCAAAAGCTGGAAAGCCTTAGCAACTGTTTTAGCTCGACAATAAACAACTGTGTCATCAGCATAGAAATGTATGGATGCATTAGGGATGTTTTTACCAACATTATGTATGTAGATTGTAAAGAGGGTGGGTCATAAGACTGAGCCTTGTGGTACACCATTGTTGACTGTTAAATAACTGGAGGAAGTACCATTATGTTGAACAAATTGCCTCCGGTCTGAAAGATAGTTAGAGAACCAACCAATGGTTTGTTCTGAGAAACCAATTTCTAAGAGCTTATGACACAAGATGTTATGATCCACAGTGTCAAAAGCTTTAGACAGGTCTAAGAAAAGTGCAGCACAATAATCCTTAGCATCCAGTGCTTCAACAATGTCATTAAGAACCTTCAGTGAAGCAGTGGTTGTGCTGTGTTGTTTCCTGAAACCACATTGATGTGGAGGTAAGATGTTAAATGAGTCCAGGTAATTTTTTATTTGAGAGTTTATCAGTTTTTCTAGAACCTTGGCTAAAATGCAGAGTTTAGAGATTGGTCGATAGTTGTTCAGTGAGGTGGGGTCACCTCCCTTCAGCAAAGGAAGAACAAAGGCTGTTTTCCAAGCGTCTGGAATGGAGTTTTGGCTTATGGAGAGATTGAAGATGTGGGTCACAGGGACTGTGATGATATGAGCGGCCAGCCTTAAGAAATAAGGTGGGAGTTCATCTGGACCTGCAGATTTTTTAGGATCAAGATCTTTTAACAGTTTATTGACCTCACTGACTGAGAATGGAGTAAAAGAGAAGGTGTGATTTAGGGTGCATTCACACCAGTCCGGTTTAGTCCACTTTAATCAAACTCTAGCTCGTTTTCCTAGAAAGTCCGGTTCGTTTAGGGAGGTGTGAACGCGCCATCGAACTCTGTCATGGAACAAAAAGGCGAACTCTGGCCCGGGCTAAAACCTAGGTCTCGGTCCGGTAGAAGCGAACTCCAGCGCGGTTCGAGTGCAGTGTGAATGTAAAAAGACCGGCCCTCTCCGCAGTGTAAACAAACACACATTTCTCTGACCTTATATGGAGCTGTCAGCTGCCTTGTGTGGAAAAACAATATTCTCCATGGTCTTCTGTCTCATCTTCTGCTCATGCTAAGTCCATTTTTGAAAAATGACAAAATATAACTCCTAAAACTGCTAAAACTTGATGCCACTTCGTTTTTATTTTTATTTACAGAAGAAGAAGAAGACGTGTCTTCAGAGGTTTTTGTGTCGTTTCTTTCAGTAGTTCTTGGTGCAGCGCCCCCACAGGCGAGCGGGGGAACAGGTTGGTTCAACAGGTTGGCTCGACTGCACAGTGCAGTGTGAATGCAAATGCACCAGCTCAAATGTAACAAAAGGTCATGAATATTGGTCCTGAACCGAACCGATTCTACCAGACTATCTGGTGTGAAAACAACCTAACTGAGGGTTGACTTGTAGGAGGGATTTGATTTTTAGAAGTTTGGTTATTAAGTGAAGTGGCTGATTTTCCATTAGTAACTGTGTCAAATAAAGAACTAGAAGCAACAAAATGTTTGTTGAAACAGTTCACGATCTCGTGCTTATTTGATACAGGAACAGAGTTAACGAGAAGTTGTGATGGGAGGTCAGATGATTGGGAGCTTCCTGAGAGAGATTTGATGGTTTTCCAGAATCTGTTAGGGTCATTTAGATTTTTGGAGGTCTGAGATAAGAAACAGTTGCGTTTTGCTGCTTTGACTGCAGTTGTGTATTTATTCCTCATCTGTTGAAAACTCAACCAATCAGTGTCAGAGTCAGATTTTCTCGCTGTGGCCCGAAGATGATCTCTTTTGTGCAGGAGGTCAGCTAGCTCTGGAGTAAACCAGGGGCTGTCTCGTCCCTTTATTCTGAACTGACGAAAAGGAGCATGTTCATTCACAAAATAAATGAAACTATTATGAAAATACAAACTGGATTCCAAAAAAGTTGGGACACTAAACAAATTGTAAATAAAAACTGAATGCAATGATGTGGAGATGGCAAATGTCAATATTTTATTTGTAATATAACATAGATGACAGATAAAAGTTTAATCTGAGTAAATGTAACATTTTAAAGGAAAAATATGTTGATTCAAAATTTCACAGTGTCAACAATTCCCAAAAAAGTTGGGACAAGTAGCAATGAGTGGCTGGAAAAAGGAAATTGTGCATATAACGAACAGCGGGAAGACCAATTAACACTAATTAGGTCAATTGACAACATTATTGGGTATAAAAAGAGCTTCTCAGAGTGTCAGTGTCTCTCAGAAGCCAAGATGGTGAGAGGATCACCAATTCCACCCTTGTTGCGCAGAAAGATAGTGCAACAATACCAGAATGGTGTTACCCAGCATAAAATAGCAAAGACTTTTAAGTTATCATCATCAACCGTGCATAACATCATCAAAAGATTCAGAGAATCTAGAGCAATCGCTGTGCGTAAGGGTCAAGGCCGTAAAACTCTACTGGATGCTCGTGATCTCCGGGCCCTTAAACGTCACTGCACTTCAAACAGGAATGCCACTGTCAAGGAAATAACAGAATGGGCTCAGGAATACTTCCAGAAAGCATTGTCAGTGAACACAATCCACCGTGCCATCCGCCGTTGCCAGCTGAAACTCTACAGTGCAAAGAAGAAGCCATTTCTAAGCAAGCTCCACAAGGTCAGACGTTTGCACTGGGTCTGGGGTCATTTAAAATGGAGTGTGGCAAAATGGAAGGCTGTTCTGTGGTCAGATGAGTCACGATTTGAAGTTCTTTATGGAACATTGGGACGCCATGTCATCTGGACCAGAGAGGACAAGTATAGCCCAAGTTGTTATCAACACTCCATTCAGAAGCCTGCATCACTGATGGTATGAGGTTGCATGAGCGCTTGTGGCATGGGAAGCTTGCATGTCTGGAAAGGCACCATTAATGCAGAGAACTATGTTCAGGTTCTAGAACAACACATGCTCCCATCTAGACGTCATCTCTTTCAGGTGTAGTGAACTAAGCCTCCGGTCAAAACCTGACCCTGAAGACCTTAATGGGACAGAAACTGTTATTTCATTGATGTGAATCCAGAAATACAAATTAGCTCATCCAGAGACTTTCTAATTTGTATCCTGAACTAATCAGTTGAAAGAACACTCTCTTTTTATATTGTCATTACTATTTTTACAAATGTCTTGATAATCAAAAGTGTGCTTAGTTCAAACCATTTTAAACGTTGAAGTGAACTACTCATTTTAAATCAACTGTGAAACAGTATTAATGATTTTTTAATCCTCATTCAAAGTAGAAATCATTTTAAATGTCTATGTTACAAAGTAATTATGCATTTTGATCTTCTCTCTGAAATGAGAAGGAGTGATGTCGGTCAAAAGTCGGAGACGGCCGCAAACAAGTTTATTGGAACGAACTGTCATGTTTTTAAACCTCTCAGACAGAAACAGAGAAGCTGGCACCTGTAGTCTGTCATTTCTCCAAAACATTCCTCTGTCTGTTCCTAAACATTTCTCTGTCTGTTCCTAAACATCTCCCTGTTTTTCTGACTCGTAGTAACCCTCTTACGTCACTAAAACCACACTCCTGTTGGTTCTTTCAACCAATCAGGACTTCCCAAATGGGACCGGAAACAGAACTCTTTAAAAGTCGACACTTCCTAGTTCTAGTAGTTCTACACATGAACCTGAGTTCTGGGAGCACAGGAGAACAGAAGTTCTGGGAGACATGAACCGAAGTTCCGAGAGAGAACAGAAGTTCTGAGTTCCTCTGAGTCTTCTCAGAGTCCCGTTAGTTCTTCTGGTACTGATGGAGTTCGGCTGGAGTTCCTGTAGGAGCCACGATGCCTCGCTGTGGCTCCACCCGGTGAAAGCCTTATAACTTCTGAGGAAGTTTGTTCTGTGGAACGAGTTCTCACGACTTCTGCCGAGTCGCAGCCGCCCTGAGGAGACGCTGAAAGGTAGCGTACCAGGGACCTCTTACCGCAGCGGATTCATCCTCTGCCAAGGTAAAAGAGTCGTCATGAGCTTCACTACCAGTGTACCGCATGCGAACTGCGCTTGAAAGGAGCGTGTTGTTCTGGTCTACAGACATACATCCTCATCCACATCTTTTCTCTCCATTTAAACTCCTTCATTCCCATCTTTAAAACTCTTCTATCTTGCCAGTAATTAATCCAGATATCTTCAGATATGTTTGTTATTTTAGTTGCAAGTGAGAAATCATGGCCGTATGATTTCTCATTGTAAAGCTCATTAATTAAGCTGTGTTATTGCATTCAGTCAGAATAATCAAGTGTACAATGTTTTGATTCTGTTAATAAATGACCACATTCATTTTGATGGGTCAAAGAAAATTAACGTCTCACGCCACTGATTAGACCATCTCCGACACAGTACTTCTAAGCACAAGATCACTTAGTCCAGAAAAATGAAAGAATCCGTTTAAATTAAGTATAATATCATGTACTTGAACTAGTCCAGATATTATAAAATGTAAGAGAGCACCCCTGAGCTAAATCCATCTCTCGGCTCTCTCACTACACAGGGAAGACCCTGCATTTTTCAACACGATAATGCCAGACCACATTCTGCAGCAATCAACATTATGGCTATGTAGGAGATGGATGCGGGTACTGAAATGGCGAGCCTGCAGTCCAGATCTTTCACCTACAGAGAACATTTGACGCATCATAAAGAGGAAGGTGAGACAAAGAAGGCTCAAGACGATTGAACAGTTAGAGGCCTGTATTAGACATGAATGGGAAAGCATTCCTATTTCTAAACTTGAGGAACTGGTCTCCTCTGTCCCCAGACGTCTGTTGAGTGTTGTAAGAAGAAGTGGGGATGCCACACAGTGGTAAAAATGGACTTGTCCCAACTTTTTTGGGATTTGTTGACGGCATGAAATTTGGAAACAACAGATTTTTCCCTAACATTATAAATTCTCTCAGTTTAAACTTTTGATCTGTGATTTGTGTTCTATTCTGAATAAAATATTAGATTTTGGCACCTCCACATCATTGCATTCAGTTTTTATTCACAATTTGTTTAGTGTCCCAACTTTTTTGAATCCGGTTTGTAGTTCCAACCGGAGTTCACATCATCAATTAATAGAATACGATGCCAGTCAATGTGAGACAGATCCCTAAGGAATGACTCTTCACAAAAATATTTCA